TCTGGGCTACGTTCTCTCTTTTTTTCTATCTCCCCTCGTCAAACTAGAAACACTGTCATTTGGGTAAATGAGATAAACCAGATCCATTATAAGGGAAGTGGAGAAATTGCTAGAAATGAATTGTATCTTTGAGAATATGCGAATCAGCATTTTTGTCTCCATAGTTAATTATCTATGACAGCATTTTTATCTACCAAAAAGAAAACATCTGTTTCATTTTAGATCAGTTTAAAAACAAGCAAGCAAAGCGTAACACCCAAAATTCAGAGTTTCAATTTTGTGTGGTTTTCGAGGGGCCTATAAAAAAATTCCTCCAAAAAATGAAGCACCTACCAAAATAAAGGTCATTTTGGTTCATTGTATATGTTGCTTGACTTGTGTAGAAAAAATGAAGGCAATCTGTTTTCCACAAAAATGTGAGTGGTTGGTTCTTACATGGACACTTTCTTAAATTACCTATAATGGGTGACATTTAAGTGTCAAGGCACTTTGCTATTTTGGAGTACTTAAGGCAAATTTCCCTCCTCACCTAAGTGAAATATTGCAATTAGCACTCAGTTCAGTCAATTGTCTCAACTACTTTTGTCGCCCTGCAAGTTACTCCTGACTCACCTGCTGACCTCACCCTAACTCGAATCAATGAAGAATTTGGAGATGTATTCAAAGGCCAAGGTTGTATGCAAGGCAAATTGGACCTTGAAGATGACAAGTCTGTTAGGCCAGTGATCAACCCGCCTCGCCGTGTTCCCTTTGCCCTTAAAGAGAAACTCAAGTCAAAACTTGACCGCCGAGAGAAGCTACATCTGCAAGGTGCAGGAACCGACTGACTGGGTTTCAAGTCTGCTGGTAGAGGAGAAACCCAATGGGAAATTAAGAGTCTGTATTGATCCAGCCCATCTCAGCAAGGCACTGAAGAGACCACACTACCCGCTTCCAGTCATAGAAGAAATTCTTCCTGAATTAGCAAATGTCAAAGTCTTCAGTAACGCTGGCCTTAAAGATGGTTTCCTACATATCGAGCTGGATGATTAGTCAAACCTTCAGACAATTTCCAGACACCATGGGGTAGATATTGCTGGAAACAAATGTCATTTGGAATTTTGCCAGCCCCAAAGCATTTCCAACAAAATCTGGATCAGAACTTAGAAGGTTTACCTGGCATGTTCAGAATCTTTGATGACCTGCTTATCACTGGCAAAAGTTCAAACATTTAAGAAGCAACAAAAGATCAAGACAGAAACTTAAGAAAGCTTCTGGAGAGATGTAGAGAATGCAATATCAAGCTCAACAAAGACAAGTTCAAGTTCAAGTGTTTTGAAGTCACATTTAGTGGCCATCTATTGACCAGTGAAGAATTGAAGCCTAATCCACATAAAATTGAAGTCATTTGCAACATGCCCAGACCAGAAGATGTACAAGCTGTTCAATGCTTTGTCAACACAGTAAAGTACCTGTCTAAGTTCCTAGAGGATCTCTCAGACATGTGTGAGACATTACGTACACTCGCTCACAAAGATGTCCCCTGGGAGTAGTCTCAAGAACAAGAACAAGCCTTCCAAAGCATCAAGAAAGCAGTGTCTACTGCCCCAGTGCTGAAGTTCTTCAATCCAGACTCCCTTACTGAAGGAGAAGGAGATGCCTCAGAGAAAGGGATTGGCTTGGCATTAATGCAGCAAGGTCAACCTGGGACATATGTAAGCAGAACCCTAAGCAAGTCAGCGCAAAACTACTCTCAAATCGAGAAAGAGTTACTTGCCCAAGTCTTTGGAATGGAGCACAATCAGCAGTATGTCTACGGAAGAAAGATAACCGTGTGGACAGACTACAAGCCATTGGAGATGATTGCCCGCAAACCTGTCACATCAGCCCCTAAAAGACTACAACGTCTCCTGATGAGGCTTATGCAGTATGATGTGAAGATCAAGTATAGGCGTGGTCCAGAGAACTCTTGAAGCAATTATACAGCAATTTAATGCATGGCATCAGAAACTGATCAAATATTTCGAAAATTATATTCTTCCTCAGTGCATCATCATGCAAAATTGTTTTTATGTTAATAATAATTTCCAATACAATTTATGTCTCTGCTTCTGGGTGGTATAGGCATCATTTTAGCCCCAATGCTTTTCCAAGCGGCATGAGCTATAGCTGAGTTTTGACTGGGGTCCCCATCCTGGATAAAAAGCTTAGACCCTCCTTTTTTCCAATCTCTTTCTATCAACCACTTAAAATATAAACCACAACTTCGTTCCCAAGCTCTCTCTCCTCTGCCTCCCTTGTCATTGGGAGAAAGATCCTGGTTGGGGTTGGACACATGCCCACCTCTGACACAAACTTTTCCACCAGGGTAGAGTTGTCGATATCAACTGAAGCGAAAGAAAGGCGATTGCTGGTCATCGCTGTATTAATCACACACGGGCGCATACACCTTTGAAATTCTCTAGTCCTATTCTAAGCTTCACAGAGGTCAGAAAAATATATTTATATAATTATACCGTGTCTCCAGTGTACTGAAGTATCACTCTGATTTTAATTCCAGGCGGCCGATTTATTATTAAAGAAGTAAGACTGTTTCTCTGTTTTATGTTGCCCGAAGTAACCTCATGGCACATTGTCAGGGCTGTCATTAAGTTTTGAGTCACCTGTAGCCTTGTTCTGAACACCCCTAGCAAACTTGTTACTTTGTGGGTGAATTCTATCAACAACAGGCAATTTCACCCGTACCATGAAGGGAAAATCAAGCATACTCAGCCGTAACAGGTGTTTCAGGTTACGGCCCTTAATGAGAGCCCTGCATTGTCTGCTAAATAAAATGATGTTTTATTAAAGGAGCACAGTCACGGTTTGCAAATATTGAAAAGTTTAGCCTCAATTTTTCAAATTCGTCGTTTGTAATCTGTGTTAATCTTCTCGATCCTTAGCCATCCTTGTTCCTGTATGGTTTACCATTGTGTCTTTGGTGTTTTTCTATCTTATTGAACTGTTATTTTCAGGTTTCCTACCATTTAAAGGAAATTTTGTATGTAGCCAAAATAACTCAAAATACCACGACTAAGCTCTTTTAACCACTTTGAAAAATATAATTCTTGACTATGCCAAGGAACCGTGTTTCAACATCTGTCTTACATAAACCCGATGTTGATGAAATATGAGTGCGGGCTTATGTCAACAAAACTGTAAATCATTTTGCATTGAGCACTGTAAATGGAATGCCAGTCAGAATACTCAGCTAGTCGGCCCTTGTGACAGAAATACTTTTTAAACAATCAAATAAAATACCGCACAAAGAAGAACATAAATTTAAAGATTCAAGGGACTGATCCAGTTGTTTCACTTTGATTCGGTATGTGACATTTTACACCTGCTAAATGTCAAAAAGTTTGTGCACCATTTGGCTGACGAATTTCTTTGTGAAGGAAAGTCTTCTATATTTTGGAGATGGTAGTTTTTAGCTACTGTTCGAGGATGTGAAACCCACAAAGTTTGTCACAGCAATAATCAAAACACTCTGCCACCCGTCCCGCCCAACAGATTTTTTTATCACCCAGATTTTGGATGATCACGTGACCAGCCACAGCCAGGATCGTTCTCCCAATGACAAGGGTGGCAGAGGAGAGAGAGCCCAGGAATGAGGTTGTATAAGCCATTCATTCTGTCTTATTTCTCACACAAACTTTGCCACTCTCCCACAGGACCCACAGTGAGCCCTTTGCTGTGTACACAAGCCATGTCTATAAACTGTCAGTTTCTTTTCTCCAGATGTGCCCCTGAGGTGCCCGCGCTTGGTCTGTGGGGTTGAACTTCTGTATACTCACAGCATCCAAGAAAAATGCTATCTGTTTGGTCCACAAACTGTCGTTGTACTCACGTTTGATCTTTTATGATCATCTTTCGCTTGATCTCATGCTTGATCATCTCTAATCTATTTTTCAGATCTTTATCTGTCAGTAGACTCTTTTGGCTTGCTTCTTGTAGATACTTGTACCCTTGGCTATGAAGAATTACCGTTGCACTGTTCGGAAGGAAATGTATCTTCAACTGACACCTGCCTGCTGCATAAGTGGCTTGACAGTAAATTTCCCTTCTGATTTCCTCAAGTTTGGGATTTCTCGCGGAATTAAGTGCTCTTCCTGTGCCCAGAATTAATTGCTCTTCCTGTGCACACAATTTTTGGGGGCATCCTATGGCTGTTTTTGGCACTCTTGATTGTTTTCGCAGCCTTTAGCATCCTTTAAAATTCTATGGAATGAGGCACGGGATATGTGCGACCACTGAATGATCTGTTTGGCACTTAAACTTTTCCAATCCTTTGTGAAGCAGACATACTTGTTTGCATGCATTTCACCACAAATTTTAGCATTAGAAACTATTTTCCCTCGTTCTTCTGCTGTCTTGAACCTAAATTGTGACTCTTCACTCAAATACAATGATCACGATATTTACCTGTATGCGCTAATTATAAATTTCTTGCAACAGAGAACAGTACCAACGTGATCATTTTACTAATATTAGAATGCCTTGTGTTTGTATCCATGTTAGCGAATGTCTCATTTCCATGAAATAACAGTTTTTTACCTTCAGACAATGGGCCACAAAAGCGTTGAGACAGTTTGCTATTTTAGAGCAGGCAAAGTAAGGTAAAGTCTGCATACGAACCAAGCAGCCCATCCAGTCATGAGAGTAAAGTGTCTTGCCCAAGAATGCAGTGCAATGTCCCCAGCCAGGGCTCGAACCTACAGTGGGCGACAAAAGTAGTTGAGACACTTTTAGGAAATGACACATCTTGATATTTAAGCACTTGTTCTATTTTATTTGCATCTAGTATTGATTCTCTGATACCCCCAGCCCCCGCCCCCCTCCCGCTCCCCCCCNTTATTCTATTTTATTTGAATCTAGCGTTAATTCTCTAATACCCCCGGCCCCCCAATTCAATGGAAGCTGTGTAGGCACTTTGGTCTGTGCAGTTTAAGAAATCGAAAAATCAACATTGTTCAGGGGGGGGAATGTGTCCAAGACGCTCGAAAATTGAATTTTATTGCCAAGTGTCTCAACACTTTTGTCGCCCATTGTAGACCACTCGATCCAAAGACGAGTGCCCTACCAAGAGGCTGAACCTCCCGTACTTAAGGTAAATTTTCTGGACCCTAAAACTTGCCTCTTTCCTGTACAGCATTGAAAAGGAGGAGGAGGTGTGGTTCCCAATGTAAACAGAATTTGAAATGGAATAAGTGAAATGGTGAAATTAGCCCTCTATTCAGTCAACTGTCTCAACTACTTTTGTCACCCATTGTAAATAAAATGAAAAAAATACCGCACAAGAAAGATATTGATTACCAAGATGCTTAAAATCGGTAGCAACGACATCTTTTCAATTGACTGTACATATGTAGTCTGTAAAACTTAAGAGGTTGAGGCTGTCATAAAGGTTAAAACATTTCCTGTTTCTTACTAGATACAAAAGAGAGAAGCAACAATGAAAGTATGTGCAGAGACTCAGGAGAAGAAAAAATCAAATCAAGACATGGGATTCCTTGTTAAGTGGGTCACAATTGCTTTGTGATTGGTTTCAGGTGCTAGCCTAGGCGTGACTGTGCACAATGCAGGTGAAAAAGTTTAAACAAATAGAGATGTTACTGTTTCACTGTTCATTCTTTTCAAGATACAGTTGTTATGTGGCAATACAACACCCTAGCCCTTCAGGGGTGGGGTGCACAAAAATTCCTTAAAACTACAAATGCCTGCGCACATTGTTGATGAGTATTTTTTGTGGGAGGAGAGACACAGTAATCTAGTGCACACTGGACTGCAGATCAAGAAGGCTGGGTTAGAGCCAATGGTTAGGGTCTCTGTGTTGTGTTCTTGGCCACAAGTTAAAACAATTCCCATTTCTTACTAGATAAAAACCAAAAAGCTGTGTGCGGAGACTGCTGTGGAGAAAGGTTCATATTGAGATAGTAGATTCCATATCAGGTGAGTCTGCGTTTCTTTGTGTTTGTTTGGAGAGGTTATCACTTACTCGATTTTATCTGTGCTGGGAATAATGGCACACATTGCAGGCAGGAAATTAAAACCAATAGAGATCTTTTTTTTTTTCACTGTTCAGCAACTGCACTGCATTATTGCTGTTCTTGGACATGACATGTTACTCTCACAGTGCCTCCCTCCACATGCTGGGGCTACCCCTGCAACAGACTGGCATACATTTAAGGGGGGAGGAGGAAGAGGGGGAGTAGAAAGATGTCTTATCAGTTGATGCAACAGAAACTGGAATAAGCTATCAGTGGTAGTTTGGATCACTTGGCCTGATGAAGAATTTAACTTACCTTCATTGTCAGAACTCCCGCTAGTAGGGTTGAAACTTTCAAACCCTGATGACTTATTTTTATTTAGTAATCAGGGATTTCAACAATTTTTGGTGCAAGAGGGTAGTTTAGAATACCAGGCAGGTACCAGTAGTTTTTTGGAAGGCCCAGGGGGCCTTCCCAACTAAAGGGTTCCGTGGGCACGCTCCCCTTTTGAAATTTTGAAATTCTAGACTCGTGCAGATGCGTTTTCCGGCATGTTGAAAACTATTTTTATGTTGCTTTGTCGTTCCTAGAAGTCAATCAATTTGAAAAACAAGGTTGATAACATGTGGTATTTTAATTCTTCGTGTTCAAATCGATTCATGAACGATCCATCATATTTCAAGTTTAAACACTGAAATTTGCCCCTTTCAATATACTCAACTAACTCTGCGAAGAATCATTCTCGTTCGACCTCTTTTGTTTTGATGCTGGAGCGAAATATGCTAATAACGATTGCCATTAACTTTTGGCAGCCATTGCAATTTATGCTTCGTCCCAGTATCCTCTTGATTACAGCTGAAGTGCGTGGCAAATTTGTTTCACTTTGTACTGAAGCGATTTTCCTCATGCGTTAGTTTAGACTTTCCTTCATATTTTGTGGTCGAAAAGGCTGGGTGAACACTAGAACGTTTTTTCTTATACCTTTCCTTTTCTTTACCTGTTACATAAGACTTATTGTGCCAAATTTCTTGAAGAGAATCCCTAGCTGCAAGGAAATTATCTGGTCTTAGTTATTTGTGTACGGCTACGCAGGACGGCTACAAGCGGGTAGATCTACCCGCTATGCAGCTATTATTGAAGTTTGTAAAACTTAAAGTGGTACTGTGATCAAATTTTTCCCCCTTGATTTTTTGGGTGTATCACATAGAATTCCATGAAAGAATAAATGCTGTTTACCCTTTGCAATATCTGCATTAGTTCCAGAGATATTTAAGTTTGAAAAATGTGTAAAATATGCAAATGAGATGACTGATGACGTCATACACTCAACCCAATTTTATATCAAGTACATAAATAGAGCCATCTTGGTTAATTTGCGGTGCAGACCATTGAAACTTTGAAGGCTAATAGTTCTACAGGAAACACACCTACGGCTATAAAAAATTCTGTTCCCATGGCAACTCACTCTTTCCAGTCCCCACCCACGTGATTTCAATATGTTAGTGATTTTCAGCTCGCAAAACATTAACTGAGGCCACAAACTTGAGCTAACATATTTATATGCTTGCTGAATCAAGCATATGAAGCACCATGTACAAATATCAAAATGGAACGCCAAAGATGGCCAGAAATGCCTTTTATATTGGGGAGGTCTGGAACCCAGTATGTTGCCATGGTAACCAAACTGTTACGCTCATATTTTAGAGCACATTTAGTAGAATCTTACTGCAAAGAATCAAACATTTCCGATTCAAATTGGCTGAGATATCTTTTTTCATCACATTTGATCAAAATTTGGTTGAGTGTATGACGTCATCACTGGGCTAATTTGCATATTTTTAAAACTTGAATATCTCTGGAACGAAGAGACATATTTGAATATAGTAAACAGCATTTTTCTTCTCACACAGGCTACTTGTTTATGTTTTAACATGGCTGCGATAGCAAAGATGCGATTTTCGTTATAGTACCACTTTAAGAGATCAAGGAATTTCATAAGGGTTAAAACATTTGCAGTTTCTTATTAGATACAAAACAGAGAAGCAAGAAAAAGAACTACAGTATGTACTGAGACTCGAGAGGAGAAAGAATCAGATTGATACATTGGATCCCATAGTAGGTCAGTCACAATTTTATGTTTGGTATCACTAGGAATGATTTGCATAATGCAGGTAGAAAATTAAAACCAATAGAAATGTTATTGTTTCACTACCCTTAAGCTAATCAACAAATCGTTGTTACGTGGTCATACACTGAAGCCCTTCAAGGGTAGGGTGTACAGAAATTCCTTAAGACTACAATGCCTGTGGTAGTGTCATTGAGGAGTATTGTTTTGTGGGAGGAGGGACACAGTAGTCTAATGGTTAGTGTACTGGACTGCACATCAAACAGTCTGGGTTTGAGCCAATGGTTACAGTTTATGCATTGTGTTCTTGGGCAAGACACTATACTCTGACACTTATGCCCCATTTATATGGTCTCAGGTACCCGAGACAACCCTCCCCCTGAGTTACCCTGGCCAAGGTAACTTTAAGCTTATTTCTTTGCAAAATCAACCAACCATTTACATTTGGATTGCGAACCTGTCTCGGGGGGTGAGACAACTCTGGTGGGCGAGTTGTCTCAACTCGGCAGGTAGGGTAACCCTGGCAAGCAGGACAATTCTTGGCGTTGCGAGTGTCACGTAATGGCTAGATTTAGGATTTAAAGCAGAAATTTGTATCAGAGAAGTGAAAATTAACTCGGCAAAGCCCACTGTGATCAAATGACCAAGGGAAACTCGAAGAAAGAAGGACATCTGTACATTTGATTGTTCAATAAGGATTATGAATAATCATGCAGCGTCAACTTTGACTCGGCCTACAGGGACCACGCTTTCACATATAAATGCTCGATAAAGTTGCCCCGAGGGGAGGGTTGTCTTGGGTACCCAAGACCATATAACTGGGGCCTTATAGTTCTTTTGACTACCTCTCTCCATTCAGGTGTACAAATGAGTTCTAGGTGAATTTAATACTGGATGCTAACCCTGTGACAGACTAGTATCCCATCCAGGCAGGATAAAAATAAGCCCTATCACTTAATGAAACAGAGATCTGGATAAGCTGTTATAGTTATAGCGTTTTTCCTCATCTTTGTTTTTCTTCTTGTGTATTCATTTGTGCTCAAGTTTTCTTGCTGACCTGTATTTTATTTCTATTCAATGCTGATGTTAACTGGTTGCCTGGCTCCGCTAGCCGCTATGGTTATTCCATGCAGTTAGTACTCAAATTATTACTTTTAATATTTTCATTTAAATTGTAATTTTTTCTTTAGCAAGAATGAGTACAAATAAAAATTGATTATTATTAGTCGATTAAACACTGTATGTATATTTTGTTCTTTGGGTTTCAGTTTACCCATTGTTAATTAGACCATTAATTTTTTGTCTTTCTTGCAGGCTGCCATCTCAAGTGTACATGCGACGGCATTAACATGCACAGCGAAGCAAAGGAAAGCAAAGAACTTCGCTTAGATGTTTCCTCTGTGGATCACGTTTTGATAGTGAGGTAGATTTACAAGACAAAGTGTAGGTTGAGTTTCTTGCGACAAGATTATTAGGACGGAGCCCGTATTAGTGATTTCAAAACACAAAACTCTAGAGTCAAAAGAGGACGTTGGAATTTCTGTTAAGTTGTCTTGTATCTGCTGAATTGTCTCGTATCTTACTAGTTTTCGAGGAAGCCGCGAATTGTATTTCAAGTTTTAGCTTTAAAATTAAGGTGGAATATTAGCATTACCTGGATTAGTTTTTGTTACTAGAGTTTTTAGCCAGGAAGACTCTTATTAAACTCGTTGAAATTACCGCGCAATTGTCTAGTATCTATTTCACACATTTACTGAAATCCGTGCAGTTTTCGAGGACGCATTTAATTGATGTAAAGGTTGCGCTTTTAAAAGGGCTAAGAAGAAAATCGAAAAATGTTGTCCTTAGAAAAAAAAGTCTGCAATTTTAAATGCTGTCTGTTTTAGAGTCCAGCATATACTGTGTCTTTTGGCGGAAAAAATTTTGCACTATGTAGGATTTTTTCCCATCAAAAGTCAAAGTATACGCTTGATTTCTGGCCAGACTCTGTTCAAAAACGCAGAATTTTTTTTCTTTTTGGCAACCCTACATAGTCAAAAAATAGTAAAAGAGATAGCCTACATTTTGACTAGTACGAGGCTCTTTTAAAAGCGCATTTTTTTTGTTATTTTTTACTTATTCAGATTTTTTGTATTGAATTTCAATTGAGTTATTAAAAAGCCAATAAAAGTTATACTGCAGACGTGTGTGTAATTGACTTCTGTTTGCTGTGTTATTTTTATTGTCTTCATTATCCTTCAACAATGCTGAAATAATGTACACAATAAAAACCACCACCTGCTGTTTTCATTTCATTTTATTGTTTTGCAATAAGTAACTAACTAATTGGAAATCAGTTAAATTAAATTAAAACGTGCGAAGGAAAAAGTTCGCGTTTAAAAACTAAGACTTTTGGCGGGAAAATTTGAAAAAATTTTGCACAGCGTTTCCCCTTACAACTTTTTGAGGAAAAAATAAAAAGGTCACCCTTCAGAAGTTTTTGATCGCAAAAATTTTTAAAAGGCAACAGTTCACAAAAAAAAAAATCCCGTCAAAAACAACTGCATCACCCCGAGTTGAAAAAAACAATTTTGATATTTCGTGATAGTTTATTCTGTCTCAAATAAATTTTTGCCAAACAGTCTTCAAATTTCATTCTTCAAAGAACTTCGCGATGGTTTTTGTGCGAGGCGATGCAGGAGTTCCTCGGGACATGAAAAAGATGAAATGGCAAATGGATCAAATAGGCGACAAAATTTAATTCCAAAATGGATTTTTAAAACTCGCGAAGTGACCGTGAAATACCGTTTCAACTAACCGAATTTAATTCTATATCCAATCGAGTTTAATCTGCAACTGTTTGAAGCTTGCCATTTCATATCTTTCTCTGTCAGACGACAACATAGCTAGTACACTTCGAATCAGTTGCACAGGAGTAAGAACTCATCAATCAAAATCCAATTATTTTCCCCCTCGCAAACTTGCCCAATTTCGAAGGGTGATAACCCATTGAAATTCCGAAATGAGTTAATTTTCTCTTCCGATGCGACCGTTCGCTCCGTGATCCCTTTTCCGTGCAACAACCAAAGTGTAAACTTAAAATCAATATCTAGTAGCACAAAGATGTTTATTCCTAAAATGGCGCAAAATTTCTGAGGCTGGCTCAGTATACTTTATGAACTTGTTAAGTCAAAACAACGTCCGAACAATCTACCGTGGGAATTTAAATCTCTTGACGAAAAGTTTTCCAAAAATGTTTACTCTGTTTTGAACAAAGCTTATCAAAGAAAAACGCTTATGTGCTTCTTTTGGACGTCCAGAAATTTAAAATCGGAAATGGAAAACAAACATGTTTTGCAAAGGCGCCAAGAGAACTTAGTATGACAAGGCAAGTTTTTAATACCAAATCATATGCAAATACCATCCTTGTTGACAAATTTGTTGCGGGTCTTCCTAGATTTGGTTATGACTGTTAAAAAATTGTTGGCAGCCTTTTAAATCTTGAAAAACAACCAGTACATGTTAATTTTAAATGTTGATTGTGAACTAGTACGTAAGGTTGTCCTTTTGCAGGTCATTGCCTGACAACTGTTGAAAAACAAGATGGAAGAATTGAATTTGATTTGCATATGTTAAAGCATTTACAGAAACAGGTAATATATTTTCAGTATATTTTCAGTTGTTATCCTGAATTCGTTCGTACTTTAAAGCTGAAAATATCAATTCTCCTTAACGACTGCCTTACTTGGTCGTAACTGTAGTTCTGAGAATTTGGTAGCACATCAAGACGATATCTCCTCGTCGATGATTTTGTTCATCATTCTCGCTATACTTATCTGCCTTTTTCCTTTTTACAACACCTTTTATAAACCAGATATTGATTTTAGAAGCCTAAACTTTCAATATCTAGAGGTTAAACAAACGTTGATCTGTCGTTAAGGTGGCACTTTCAAAAACCTGAGAGTTGTGTCCAATAACCTGAGGATATTTTCAATTTCTTTTACGGTACCCGTGGTACAGCAATATGTAAGAAAAGCTTCGATTTACAGCGGAAGATAACTATTCTGGTAATCACATGAATCTGAATGCAGTTTGTAATCTCCGAGAAATTTTCCCTTAGCCTTCCGAATTCCTTAAAGTATTTCCAAAATGTTCGTTACCGTTGGGAAATCTCCGGAAGTCTTCGGAAATCTTCGAGTCATCTCCGGAATTCTGTCGTCGGATGGCTTTCGGCAACCGTTCGGAGTATCGTGGTTCGTTGTAATTTGCAATCGACTTTTCTGTTTTTAAGTATGTTTTACATTGTTGAACATGTTGGCGAATAATTTTATAATGCAATTGTGTGTTCATGTGATTAATTCAGAAGACCATCCGGTACTCTTTCAAGAGTAATTTTCATCATCCTGGCATTTCTCTGCCTTATTACACCATGAATTTGAGTCTTTATTCGATGAAAATTTAATGTTAGGAGATAATTTTAATATCAGTAAGACAATTTAAATTTGTTGCAGAATAATTTCGAATGTTCCAAGATGTATTTTTTCTGTTTCACGCTAGAGTATGCGACCCTATTAATCTCCTTTTACATGAAAAACACTGAATATAACTTTGAGGTTTTATTCGATCTGAAGAGAATAAAATTTTGCGCGATAATTTTAATTCTAGCAAGGCAATTTATTGTTGTACAGTGAATTTCGTTGTAGCCAATTATATTTTTTTCGTTGTCGTACAGGCCATTAATAAATCACCTTTTGCCTAAAAAATATATACCCACCCGATGTTACATTACTTCGTCGATTCGGAGATAAAACGTACACGTTTTGATCACAAAAATTTAGATGGTGTTGCCAATATAGTGCCACCGTAAAAACTCAACGTTGTTTAACCACTTAAAATATTTTCTGAAATCATGTCGACCAAAATGGTGGCTACCAGAATCGAGATCTCAGATTAATTTAGGACGAAGGTTAGCTATTGAAAATATATAGATCAGTCGTTCGAAACAAATAAATAGCACGACTTCTTCTACTAGAAAAAACCTCACAACTAATCCTCACAACGTAAGCTTGAAATATATTGCCACCATTTTGATCGAAAGCAATGAAATTAAAATTCTTATCTCGTTGTCATCTCCATTGTTGAATAATTATCAACTCCTCGTGAATTTCGATCTCTTCTTTCGTTCGCCGGGTCTCACCAATGATCTCACCAATCTTCGCCGTTTGGCCATTTCCTCTCCTTAAAAGGATGACAATTAAACATTAGCTTTTTCTCGAGAAAAATGGGTTTCCAAGATACACTATTACTGCCAGGGCAAGCACTCGGCTCGTATGAACCGGCAGCACGTGGTAACGGTGTTCAACTTTGCGGGAGCAACGTGCAACGAGAAGAACGGGAAATGTCAAACAATTAAATTCAGCAAGAGAATCCTAAAAACTTGTGCAAAGTTTATTTCTTAATCCTTCACTGAAACTTTTCATCACAGTGATTGCAAAACTGCGACTATTTGGTCTATATACAAAGCTTTGTGAAGCTCGGCAAAGAAAATTGCGAGCGAAGGGCAGAACTTAACTTTAGGAAGGTAGAAATTGTTCCGTTTGTTGAACAGTACACTCACCACTAATATTTTAATACTTGTGGTTCGTCCTGCTTTATCTTTTTCGAAGGAAAAACATGGTCAGATCCGACATCACCGGGAGCACGTAAATTTACGTCTTCACACTATGACCAAGTGTTTGGTTTGACGCAAATTCCAAGATTAGTCATGAATATTGATTACAAATCGCTAACAAAAACGTCGACGCATATTTTCGTGACTTTGATTTTTAATTATTATGCAAAACTATTGTATCACCTCAAAAATATCAAGTTTACTCCAGATCTTTACATTTTTAGATCTTTTCAACCTTTATAAAGACAGTAATACATGAAATTAAAAACATTTGTAAAGATTTTTGCAGGTAATCAGGAAAAATCCCCGTGTATAGACCTGATGGCCTACGAATCAAAGTTGATAACCAACGTTTCGGCGTCATCCGGCCTGACACCATTCTCAAGGCGAAGTGAATAAATTAATGCCAAGCTGATTTCTATACTTTTACAGTCTCTACAAAGTAGCATAATAATTAAACCGTTTTTAAAGTTTGATATTTGTATGATTTTGTTACTTGTAAATTTTGTCATTTAAACGAAGGATATTAAAAAAAATCGAGGTACTTCCGTTGAAAATTATGGGTTCCCTTCTGGGTCTCACCTACTTTCCCCTGGCATTCGCAACCCCGCGGGCTTTTAATGGTCCTTTTTACCGTGCATTCCCTTGTGCTTCTCCTCTTATCTTTCTGTTTCCGTTTCTCCTTATAATCCCTGCGACTTCCGCCACACGCAAAGTCGTTCATTCATCTGCGGGTCTCCCTCACCAAGCACTTTCTCTACGTTACGTTCTTTAATTGAATTGTCGTGGGTTTTCCTGCGATCGGCTGAGAGCTATGAGCAACATGTAAACACAGCCTCGTGCGTTAACCCGCGAGTTCCACAACGATAGGTAACATCGAGCTTTCCAGGATGCTTCCCCAACGTTATCCATTAAAAAGAAATATAGGGAGAGTCTTATCTTGTAGCCGCTTGTGGAACTGTTACTAGGAACAATATGACTTCCCCTCTTTTGTTTTTTGTCGCTAGTAATAAGCCATCCATTCCCGTCCTGTCTCCTCTCTCCTCCACAGAGGTTCGAGACGTTCCTTATAGAAATCTTTGCGCCTGCATGATTTACCATTCAGCGGATTCTCCCTACCCGAAAAACCTCTTTGTGCCTCAACGGAGGAGAGAGGCCTGTCCCCCTTAGCCGGCCGGGCCTTGCGCGAGGAAAAGATGGGCCTCGAGCAGCATGATAATTCAACACTGATTTCCTTCCCGAAAGGACCTTCTGATTGATTTCTAACTGAGGCCGTTAGATTACAGCACCGACTACAGAGAATTGAGAACGAAATTCTGACCAGGAAGTGTATGGCAACAAATGTTTAGGGGACTTCTGTTCAATGAATTTCTCTCCGTAAAAGGTTTAAACTTCCTCAAGATGTTTAAGCGCTGTGACAAACAGTTTTCGTGAAATTTACGCAGTGATGCCACCCAGAAGGAAACCAGCACTGAATTAGTGAAAATCTTAGTCCCAGAATCTATCCAATCAAATCATGGG